CGCATTACCTTGCTTTGCTCCGCCTATGAGGAGCGGCATTCTACCATCGTCCAAATGAGCAACGTCGATGTCTCAATAAAGCTGTTATAAGCTTATGTGTCCTGTATATATAGACACAATAGGAGCCACCAACCTCCAACTACCGGCTTTCCATAAGACCAATCAGCCACCACAACTAAGACTATCATAAGAGTGGTCAGTCAGCACACAAGACAAGAAAAGATACTACTCCTATTAACATGAAAAATTTTGCGTATGACCTTGTTTTTTCTTAAACGTACTACTCTAATGCTTAGTAGCAAAATTTCGCAACTACATAATTTAGCGATTTTTGATCAGAACTTTGATGAACATTCCGTTCTGCTGTTTCAAATCAGACAGACTGATCCATGATCAACTTCTGCCAAACAAGAATTGTTGACTAATAGCATCAGCGCAAAACGTAACTATCTATAACTGGTTATTTCAACATTTAACAATGATGATATTCCGTTGGCAATTCCAGCATATTTATTGATAGAAGATAAAAGACATAACTTGAGCTTCTTCCCTCATCGAGTGGTGTAGACAAGATCCGAATGGTGATGGAAATGTAAAGTTGAAAATTGTTTGAGGAAAAAAGAAGAAACTATGTAACCAAGGATTCCCGGACAAGTGATTAATATGCACACGACTGACGTGGATTTTTACCATGTATGATTTCGTAATGATGAAAATGTTCGAATGGAATGTTGCTGACAAAGTAGATTGATATGCTAGAGCACAGAGCATTCTAACCGACAGCAAATTTTGGCAAATTCATGGTTCTGCTGCAATAAACTACCACACTACGAAAGCTTGTTCTGATTTACAACATTACCTCAATTTCTGTTCGTCCTATTTGTGCTTATCACCGCATTTAACCAAGAAAGAAAAGGAGATCTTGCCACTTACCCAGATCTAATTGTGGGTAATGGTTGCAATTTGCAAAAGCTTGCTCTTTTATCTCCATAGCATGCCATCCTAAGAAAATGGCATATATTTGAGTCTATCAGAACGCAGCACATTTCCTTTAGTCGATAGCTGTTGTTTACGGCTAGAAGCCGAAGACTAATCTGCAGAGTTGTTGTTGCAGAAAAATCGTTACTATGGAAGACGGGACGCAAAAATGCTCAGCATTACCTCTCCTGCGAACCTACAGCGATCAGCTCAATGCTTTTGCCATGACAATCGGAATTGATTTTCCATTTATTTTTCTATATCAACCACCCTTAGCAACATTAATTACGTTATAGTTTGTGACAATCAAACTTATAAATACTTGTTTACCCACTCAAACAGGTATCAACAAATCTTACACCATCAACACTTTTGTCTGCTAATTGAATGTATTTATAAATGTTTTCATATTTGCATCACATATGTTTTTTGATCTCTAGGCGGAGCCCAATTTCACATTCATTATCGCTTTGCATTTATTTACCACCAAAGATATCTCCCTAGCGACCTAATCACGCTTCTGAGATACTTCATATTATATTTGGTGAATGCAAAAGTTTGTTCGCCCGTTTCTCAAAAAAATCATAACTTTCTTTCTACTGGGTGGATTTCTTCTGATTTCTGTTTATTTGAAAGGAAACCATTCTCTTTACAGCAGTACCTTTGCCATGAACTGGCATGAGAAAGTTTGAGAGATGGATGCAATTGAACGAAGTTACTCAGAATTGGCATTTTTCAAGCAGGGTCGCAAAAAATTTTGGAAGCATTTTTGTTCAATAGGGGAAATTTGCTCTTTGCTACAGCACCTTTTCCATGAATCATGAAAAAGATCGAGAGTTAGAAGCAAACAAAAAGAACTACTTTAGTTTTGCAACTTCTACTTCTGCACCTACCTAACATATTAGGTTGATTTATAATCAACACGTTTTATGGATGATGTGTATGTATTAATGCACAAACTTTTTATACTATCTAAAAGAGCGTTTCTTTTAGTTTCTTAGGTATGCCCCGCTTTCGAACATCTTCCTTTATTTCACAGTTTCACGCCTTCAAATAAAGAAGATAAATCCCAAAATTTTTGCTTTTTACTCTTTTTTCCCTCCCAGGAATAGCTGGATTAATTTCAAAGATTATGCATAAAGAATAGGAGGTGCTACAAAATGCTTTTTGAACAAAATTTTCTAAGAGGTCTGAGCCGAGTAAACTTGAGTAATCGCCGCGGCCCTTCCTTACCGTATGAAACTCAAAAGCAAAAGGCGGTTGCAGAACTTTTGCACTATCCAGCAAGTGTAGCTAGCTCAATTAATGCTAGAAAACGCTAGGGTTTTCTCACTTTCCAACGGAGAAAAATGAAATAATTTCAAAAGACCGATTATTGAACCCTCCGAGATGCCAGAAAAGAAATGTTTACTTTCGACTTTTTCGCAATATTTTCTCTCAAAAAAATTCTGCAAAATCCAAGCTTGCATCACTGCTCAGCAGACTTTTGGTTACATTACGAGCAAAGTGTACTTTATTCTACTTCATTTCAAAGTAAGTTGTGCTCTTTCAAAGTAGAGGCTTCCGAAAAAAATTCTTGGCAATCTTCAGGCTAGGGTATCTGTATCTGTTGTATAGTCAAGATTTGGTGGTTACACTAGTTTTTACGTCCAAAAACTTTTTTTTAGAAAAAAAAATATCTTGGTTCAAACTTGAAGTAAAGAAAACGTGCATTATAAATCAACCTGATATTTTTCTGATCAAAGCATTTGTAATTTGCTTGAGCAGTCACTAGTTTCACTTCTATATTTTTTCTGGAGGCTATGTTTGAACAGTTTCGCATTTCATCTTGAATTGATAGCGAAACTGCTAATGGACTCTTTCAGAATAAAAAAAAACCCCTTTTGCCAATTTTTCACAGAAGACTTCTAAAGTTTCAGCTTCAAATGGAGAATGCAAAGGCTAGATGATTACAAGACACGCTTGATATAGACTTCTCGAATGCACATATGGGCATGCATTTTGAGGGACAATTTTGTCCTATGATTCCTACTCTGTTGGGTTCCTTCCACAACTGAACATAGTCTTTGAACATTTCACCCCATTATAACAGCAAACAATTTTTGAGCGGGAACCTTTCATTGAACAAGAATTCGAACTACTGATGAGCTCTAATGTGGAAAAGAACACTTCTTGCCAGATGAACAAATCCTCAGCGCTCTCAAACCAAAAATAGCGAATGGTACAAAAAACTTAAATATTATTAAAACTTAAAACTTAATAACTATAACTATAACTTAACTTAATAACTTAAATATTGACCACAAGAAACGTGTGGCCCCGATTCAAGGAACGACCTAAACATGATTTCGAGATCGATGATTTACTTTCGTGAATTTTTTGCACTTTTCCGCACTCTTTAATTTTCTTGTATGCTGCTCCGCCAGTGGCTCGATCTCCTCTTACCTAAAATGATCTCTTGCAAAAATTCGAGTTTCACAGAAAACCTAGCTTACGTAGAGATTCCAAAACCCTGAACATCGCTAACTAGACTCATACTTTTACGCTGACCTTTACTCATTTTTGCTTCTGAACAGCATTTCTTTCGAATGTTGTTTTTTGCTTTCCTTCAAAAGCAATTACGTCTGATTGTTTTGAATTCTTCGTTCTCATATGCCGCTTGAAATTGCCATTTGAAGACATCTGGGCCGGTAGTAATCTACCCCACATGATAGCATCATAGATGCCGACAAGTTGGCACACATCGCGGAAAGATGTCAATTCCGGCGTTAGCTCACGGATGGTCATAGGTTTTGATGGTTTCATGTTATCTTAGTCCTTGGCACTTTCTCCATAGATTTTTGAGGATGCAGTCCGCCGAAAAACCTTGTCCGCGCGTCCTTGAGCCTGCATGTATCCACTTCGAGCGTGGGCCTGTTGCTTAATCGACCACTCGTGCACATATTGCTCTCGATGAACAAGGGTATAATGGCACAGGCGCGGCGCCCGTAAGAGTGTGTGATCAATACGGTGTGTGTAGACTTTGACCCTAAACAGATGATCGACATGGACAAATGGCAATCGTTCTGAACGGGAACACTGGAGGAACAGGGACGATGCTCACTATATCTCACGATGAAAACAATTTATCTTCCATACAAATCATATATTTTGACCGAAGGAAACTCGAATAATGCTTGAAATGACTATGAAAAAAAGTAGGAAATCTGGTATTGTCTGAGACGTAACTTGTGTGATATGCCATAGTACCCTAACTCACAGACGCCGCCAGCAAAGTGCTATAGCATCTCAACGTGGTAGGGGCATGTCGAGATGCTGCCACTTTTCTCTCTCAAAAAAGCACGCTATTTCTATTTCTGACTCGCCGGCAGCTCCCATCTCGTAATTTTCGACGAGCTGCAGGCAGATTGCCAGCAGGTTGCTGGCAGTTAGCTCGCAAAGTTGCCAGCAGCACCTCTTGCCCTTTTCTGTGTATTATTCTATGAGGCAGTTCCTGAAATCTCAACATTTGATGTAGGTTTGTTCAAAAATCGCCCGGCATTTTCACCCTTCAGGCATTTTCTTGTAAAACGGTTGAGACGGCCTAAAGTGAAATCTTAGGTTTTTTTTGCCGACTTCGCGTCAAGGTGCCGGCTACCTACCGTCGTGAATTACCGCCAGGTCGGGGCATTACTATCCCAGAGTGGGCATGCCCCTACCTCATTACCCCCCTTCCTCCCCCACCTCCCTCCACCTCTTTCCACCCGTTCGCTGGTCAGTTATGCCCGGGAAATGTGCCTTCATATTAGTGCTCGTAAATGAACGGGAATTCGGGAGAAAATTCTTCAACATTATTTGAAAGAAAACAGATTGTCGATATCGGAAGGAACTTCATCTAGACTAACGATATCTGAATTGCTGTGCTTTGTATTATTTCCTTTATCTCTTCCTCCGAAAATCCTGCCTAATTGTTTCGAGAACTCACTGAGCAACTACTGCAATTTCTTTTCAGATACGAATCATATACACCACCAATTCGCAAAATGAACCATACACCCACAGCAGCTCCTCCATCAATGACTGACGTAGTAGAGACTCACGAACTTCCTACAGTGGTTGTCACTCTACCCATACATTTGCTCACTTCTATATTCATTGCTGTCTTCATGATTAGCATAATGTCAACAAAGCATATGCGTAGCCGGGTTCAGTGGCTTTTCGGTATCAGCTGCACCTTTTTCCTGATCGCTTCACTGTACGATGTTGCCATTGATGTGGCCTATTTGGTGATTTCGAAAAGACCGGTGAGTCTCAACAGATATGATTTGAGTTTGGCACTTTATACCTTATCAAGGTTGATTTAGGTCACTGTTCAAACATGTTCTGTAATCAGAAACTTCGTCTACAATCCCGTCGCTACGCAGACTCTTGTAGACGCTTCTGATCGTTTTGCACTAGCATTTTTCAATTTTGAGATGTCTCTGATCTCGTAAGTCTCAACCATTCTTATGAATCCTCCATTAATGAACTCAGCAATTTCAGAATGTTCGCATTCTACAGTATATTCCCCTTGATTTGCATAGCATTAGCCGTTTACAACAGATTCATCTCGCAAGAGTTAACGCACACCGATGACGTTTGTACGACCATTCGACGTGCACCATGGACCAATAGTGTACTTCTCTCTATTCAATGGTAAATTTTTGGCAAGATAATGAGGAGTCTTCTTGGAAGAATTGTAAAATGGCCCTCTTGCCCTCTCTTAACAAAAAATTTGACTTTGACAATCCTGCGATCAAAGTCTTTTCTTTTTATTTCGTCACACTGCTCAGTTCAAGGAGTTCAGCTTTGCTTGCTTTCATACTGTACGTTTGCATATGGCGTAAACTACAACGCGAACGCAAGTCAAAGTCTGGGCTAAACGACGAGAAGCATGAATATGATTCGAATAAGATGGTGAGGATAACATAGAAACTTAGCTACTATCAAACCACAACACTGTAAACTTACATTTCAGTGTCCAAATCGTTATTACTGGGACCATCACGTTATCAGAATATTCTTTATCTGTTGTACATTGCCACTATTTTTAGCACTACCGAGTTTGTTATTTACCATCATCACAGACCTGGAACTCTATGAGAATCCGGTGAGTCAGAGCGCATGAAAATTGCATCGCGTTGCAAAATAATCAAATAGTAATATAAAATGATAAGAAACTCGCTGCTACTCCTTAGGATAGAGAGAGCGGTCTCTCACGCTCCAGATATGTTTGCAAACTTTTACTTTTACAGATACCGGAATTGAGTATTATCGGAGGAGGAAAAAGGGGAAGATTCCTTAAACACTAATCGAATAGTTCTAATTAATCACCATGATACTGCCAGCCCGTCTCGGCTTCACAAAAAAGTCTAAATTAGCTAGCTGACAAAACATGTACTATAGCGTAAAATGTTTTTTTTGTTTGAAAGTCTTCTCGTGCTTATTCTATAGCTCAGTTGGAGGACTGCGGACATATAACGCTAATTTTCTTTGTATTGGAGCACTGCTTCAAAACCTCTCCATCTCCCAACCTTGAAACCGTTCCGCTCTTCTCCCTCCTCTACTTGAGAGAAACTCCTACCGCTAACTCAAGACGCTCCGGAAATTCCTCTTCTCTCAAATTGTTCGTGCCGTGCGCTGCATTTTGTAAAAAGAAAGCGTTTATCCGCGTGATTTAGAAGACGGGGCTCGAATCATCGCATTCTCCTAACCTTAGAGTTGAAATCTTTACTATTCCTTTTATATGATTATGGGGAAATAGTAGGGTGTCTCATAATTTTTTACCGTTTTTTCTGCAACCGCCGTCTTTTTGTATCGTTCCTTCATCTGATGTGGCTTGAGTAATCATTCGACAGGGCAAAGCAAGCCCTACAAGATTTCTATCAAAAGTCTGCCCAGATCATATCATACGTGAAGTTTTGAGCTGAGATCTGATAATAGTTAAAAACGAACTTTTCTTTCAAAAATCGTATCTCCGACCCAAAATATCCGATTTCCCATTCATGCTAGCATATGCTTGACACATCGCGTATTCAACTGTACACTTCTCGATTTTTTTCCATGTCTAGAAGTAAAGAAAAAATGAATGGCAAAATGGCAAACTCTCCGCCTCTATACGATTTGAGATCCTACCATGCATGTGATCATATAGCTTATATATACAGAAGTACGATCGTGTATTTGGATCTTTCGTGGGTGCTCCAATTCTCGAGAAATGCTGATGTTTGGGGTAATGGTAAAAAATTATGAAACACCCTAATAAACGATTAAGACTAACAAGGACTGCATGTTTGGTCGAAGTGGCCTTTTGAAATGGGATGTATACCATACTGAAGGGCATAAAATGCTGATTTCAAATCTCCCTTCCCTATCTGCAGAACATATATGGACGAGGAGTTATGAGCGCTCATTGGAGCAAAAAAGTGAATGTGCTGTAGGACAAAAATAGTCGTAATACTTTTTTAGCTCTCCAATGGAGCAGTGATAATCATCAGAGCACTTTGTTCAAAAATACTCTAAAATAAAAAATTTATCACATTTGGTTGCATAGTTTGAGGGCTAGTAAGATTTTAGCAACTCATTTTATCCAAAATGCACATTCAATTTTCGGCTCAAAAAACGCTCATAATTCTTCGTCCATACATGTTCTGCAGATAAGAAAGGCAATTTTAGAATCAGCGTTTTATGCTCTTTAGTACGGTATACATTTCATTTAAAGAGACCACTTCGACTAAACAAGCCTTATAAGAAGCTCATTCTCATAGATGTAACAACAAATCAATAGACTGATAAAAGGGCCTACTGAATTGCCGTGAAGAGTAGCTTTTGGCATGGACCTCGAAAACATATGTGTGCCAAGTTTGGCGCTGATCGGTCCACACAAAAAATTTTACGACGAACCTACTAACCAGCACCTTTACCAATACTATGTTTCATATATGTGTGGAGATATGTTATCTTTTTTACCGAGAAATAGCTTGAGTCTTCGCCCTATCTGTTAAGAACGCTTTGTTCTGGCTCCTATATTTTTTCAACTTAGAAAATGGAACCTTTCTTAGTGTAAAAGACTGAGTCGCACTTCATTTGCATTTTTGTCCTTTTCGCACACTTGTGACTCCTTCGGAAAAAATGCATGGAGCTCTTCAGATGTAAAGCTTACTGAAAGCGCAGCCCATACATTTTTGGGAACCAAGCAGCAAATAGCGTGTTATCAGAGCTATGGGAAAAATCATTTATATGGAATGAACTGTTAGCCGAATGTCGTTGACTGACACGAAAAGCCAAAATTTGCGAACCAGTCTCGTACTATGCTTCCCCGCAATTAGCTGAATTAGGTTTTCCTGCTGAACTGATAATAGCCCTGTTTTCAAAGCATACATAGCCAGGACCCGGTAGTATGAGGGTGAAAAACGTCAAGTTGAAAGTTCTTTAAGGAAAAAAGCAAAGAGGATATCGTGAAAATGAGTTCATCACTAATACGCCCCCGCAACAAGTTGCTACGCGACTGACGTGCAAAAACACGATTTGACGGCCCCTCGTTCCCAAGACCATTCTTTCCATCAAGTGGTAATGAACTGTCTCAATTACAAGGCACACATAACGATATGACTCCGAATTTGGTGTATAATCGGACAAGGCCAGTGTATTGCAAATGGAAAAAATATGGTTGCGGCAAACTTTTTCTGTAAAAATTTCATTGGTAAAAGGAAAAATGATCATTTGAACGTACTACTACCTGACTCCGAACATGATATGTATATACGTGTGGGGGAGTGAGAACAAAGTATGAAATCTTACGAAGAACATTGTGAAGAAATCGTATCCAACTTTTCAAACTAGGGGGGGGGGGGGGCAAATGCCAATCTACTTTCGACCAACGAATTATTATTTGATAATTGGATAAAACATTCGCATGCGAATGATTCGAAAGTTCTAACGCTCGAAAATGTGAGTTTTCGAAAAAGTTCAAAGGACAAATATTCGAAAATGTTCATTTTCGATTATCCGAAACTCTAACAAGGGAACGATCCCAACTTAAGATGGCGAATTGGAATGAACCGCATACCGTTAGATGCGTCTTGATGAGCTGATTCCAAATCTACCTTCCTTCTGCGATGCCGTTAACTGGAAAAAGTTATGAAAGGTTAAAAATGTGGAGTCATTGGGATTTTAATGCATAATATGCTTCAAAATCCAACTTGCAAGTGCACGACTAGCATGATATTGAATGTACTGATTTCAAGGAATGCTCAGATTCAAAAGAAACACAGATAAGTGTTTTTGAACAGCTAAAAAGCACCTAAACTTTATTGGTAAAAGCTATTAGCAATGAAAAGTCCAAATTTGGCAAATATACAGCACCGTACCTCGAAATTTAGTTGTTCAAAAACATTTATCTGTGTTTCTTTAGAATCTGAGCATTCCCTGGAATCAGTACACTCAATATCATTGCTAGTCGTGCACTTCCAAGTTGGATTTTAAAGCATATTATGCATTGAAACCCCGATAACTTCATATTTTCAACCGCTCATAACTTTTTGCAGATAACAGCATAGCAGATAAGGAAGGTAGATTTGGAATCAGCTCATCAAGACGCATCTAAAGATATGCGGTTCACAACTCGCCACCTTCAGTTGGGATCGTTCCCTTGTAAGATACGAAATTTTCAGTTTCTGATCATTATTCGATAGTCGAATTTTCGATAGTCATTAATTCCTTTTTTCAATTATTATCGAATCTTCGAATGTATGAGTTACGAATGATCAAAAATTTGACAGCCATAGTATTTATTGGGGCAAGATGCCAAATGTCTATCACCGCTCGCAGATGCGCTGAATTCGAAGATGTTTGCCATTTTGGATATTTTTTGTTTTTCGCTTTCTATGCTCGGAAAAAAATTCAGAAAAGCCATATTTGACTACTACTATACGCCTATTGTATAATGACCAAGTTGGAGGTCTGCAGGATTCTTTATCGCAAAAATCCAATTTTCAGGTGACAAAATCTTTTCCGATTTTGGCTTCAAACTTTCCATGGAATGCGGCTTGGGCAAATCCTTGGTGGTCAATTTGTAGAGCTTGATTGGCTCTATCGAATGATACCCTAAGTTTACTAGGGAAACGAAAACAGCTTAAATTATTTGAAAAAGGAATTTACTTTTGGGACAACCTAATATATTGGACTAGCGAACCCTACGGGTCGCTAGCAAGCAGGTTGGGGCAAACCCATTGATTAATGCTGTTTCAAATCTATAATTTTCCCACATAAATTTTCGGTTTGTCAGCATATGTTTTGCCACAACCGCTCAAGGCGAGATTTTCGAAGATCTTCTCAAAAAATCAAACGGAAAATGGATCCTTTTTCTCAAATAGTGGTTTGCTTTATGAATCACTGTACAATTTCCTTCCACGATGCCATTCTCGCACTCACGCTCACAATGTGGTGAGAAAAAGTGAATTCGAGCAGAGCAATTGCTTTCAAAAGCGAGATTTTCAAAGATTTTCTCGAAAATTGTCCGGAAAGTGGATCATATCGTTCTAATATATTGATTTGCTCCGAAAACCACTGGACATTTTCCTTTCACAATGTCGTTCTCGCACTCACGCTCACATTGTAGTGAGAAAAAGTGAATTCGAGCAGAGCAATTGCTCCCAAAAA